CCCCCAAGCACTACCTGTGCTGCCACACGCTGCACCAGCTGTAGTTTCTGAATGCTCTTCAAGGGTAGCCTTATGTACAAAGCATTGCAATAGTCCAGTCGTGAGATGACTAGGGCCTGGGTGACTCAGTCAAGTCTACAGTCAGAGAAATCACTTGGGCATGCAATAGATGAGAGGTCCAAAGGAAACTCCCTGCCAAAATCACAATGGGGAGACATGAGACCGAGAAGCGATCTGTTTCAGGGACCCTTGTCCTGATGCTTCTTGATCTCCATTCACCCAGCTGGAGATGGGTTTGGTCTGCAAAGACTCATCTGGCAGGTCTTATTTTGGACATATTGGTGGAATCTATCTGTCCTTCCTTCCTTCCTTCCTTCCTTCCTTCCTTCCTTTCCTTCCTTTCCTTCCTTCCTTCCTTCCTTCCTTCCTTCCTTCGCAATAATTCTTCAAGTTGGAACATAAGCATAATAATGCACCTCCGGTCAGGCTAGGCCAAGGCTCTTCAAACTTGGCATGTTTAAGACTTGTGGACTTCAACTCTCAGAATTCCTGAGCTAACATGACTGGAGGAGGAATTCTGGGAGTTGAAGTCAACAAGTCTTAAAGTTGCCAAGTTTGGAGACCTCTGCTATAGAACAAGGGTCCTCAAACTTGTGGACTTCAACTCCCAGAATCCCTGAGCTAACATGACCGGAGGAGGAATTCTGGGAGTTGAAGTCCACAAATCTTAAAGCTGTCAAGTTTGAAGACCCCTGAACTAGACATACCCACAATAATTCCTGCACCTGTTCATGGTTAGCCTCCAGTCTCCTAATCATCTTTGTTGCTCTTTCTACACTCTTTCTAGACCAAGCGTCTTCTAACTTGGCAAGTTTAAGACTTGTAGGGACTTCAACTCCCAGAATTCCTGAGCTAACGTGAGCGGAAAAGGAATTCTGGGAATTGAAGTCCACAAGTCTTAAACTTGCCAAGTTTGAAGACCCCTGGGCTAGACAACATGGATAGACTTATGCCAGGTTATTTCATCACCCCCTGAAGTGTTCAAAGGAAGAGAAGGCTCCCATTTGGGGCTGTGCTGAGTTCCGTGGAACTGTTTAGGGGGAGGCTGAGGGATGGGGCCACAATAACCCTGACAACTGTATCAGAGAAGAACGGAGAAGATTAGATCCGCAATCATGAAATTTACTTCTAAGAGAATTCCCACGGTTGGGGCCACAGAGACATGGAAGTTCAGACTCAGCCACAAACCACATTTAGAACCATCTCCTGATTTTTAAAAAAGGGGGGGGGCTTTAAAAAACTTTTCCCTGAACTGGAGTCCCCCAAGGGTCTCTTCCTGGCGCTCAAGGAGGAGATAGGTTCATTCAACGGCTGCAGAAAGATGAGATCTTATGAAAGCAAGCAGCCTTCTTGCCTAACTGACAGCTCCAATGGGTTCATGCTTTACACCCGTGGATGAGTGGGTGGGTGCGTTCTCTCACACGCCCACACACACACAGACACACACATCTTGACGGGAGTCTTGGGCAATGCCTGTAGATATTGTCAGATGGAGGACTGCTGGAGTACAAGTCCAAAAACAGAAGAGGGTCTACAGGGATTTGGGGGACTTTCTCCTTCTCCTTCACACAGGGCCACGTTCCATTTTGCTCTCTGCAAAGATGGTCCTTGGGCAACCTGGGGCTTAAGACTTGTGCAGCCTAAATGATTTCTTAAGGGACGGAGAAATAAAATCAGAGGGCTCCCTGGTATATCCACACAACGATCAGTGGAGGAGAAAGACACCAGGTTTGGACCGAGTCCTCTCAGTTTTGCCATAAGGATATGGCTATACTGAAATATTTTAAAGATACTGAAATAAATGAAATGATATAGGAGGAGATCTGAAATGGAATTAACATCAGGGTTTAGGATTAAATGAGTAGATTAATATGTCCTTTTTCTTAAATTGTAGATAAACCTTATGAAATTAGAAAGGGAAACCATGCAGAATCTGATTTATATATGTTATGTAGTTTTAAATGGGATTATTAATTTTAATGTTTTAGGTAATAAAATGTTAAACATTTAATGGGATTTAAAAGGGGAGATAATTAATGAATATGTAACTTAGAGGTGGCGCACTTAAACTGATATTTTAGGGGGGGAAACCAATTTATAGAAGGAGTGTTAGTAATCAGAATTTAAGAGGAATATACAAATGTGACAGTTAAAAGTACTAAAGTATAATAATTATGAAGTTAATATATGTGAATTAAATAATGAGAAAAGCATTTGGAATTATATAATAAAGTAGAGAATGTATAAAAGCATTGTTAAGTTAAAAAATTGAATACAAAAACTGAATATGTAATTGTGGTCATACTTGTATGTATATGTGAAACCTGTAATCATGTTGTTTACTAAAAAGAGATGTTAAAATGTGGAAAACAGAGGGGTGGACTAGAAGACCTCCCAGGTCCCTTCCAACTCTATTATTCTGTTAGTCCTTGTTCAGTGGTCTAAACAAGGTCCCTTCCAACTGTGTTATTCCATTATTTTTTAACTATAGCTTATCAATCATAGGGGATGCAGTGGCTCAGTGACTAAGATGCTGAGCTTGTTGATCGAAAGGTCGGCATGTCAGCGGTTTGAATCCCTAGCGCCGCATAACGGAGTGAGCTCCCGTTACTTGTCCCAGTTTCTGCCAGCCTAGCAGTTCAAAAAGCAGGTAAAGAAATGCAAGTAGAAAAATGGGGACCCCTTCGGTAGGAAGGTAACAGTGTTCTGTGCGTCTTCGACAAAATGACGGATGACCGTTTACCCACACATGTGAACTGTTGCAGCATCCCCATGGTCATGTAATCAGAATCCAGATGCTTGGCAACTGATTCAACTTCCTTAGAAGTTGAGGGAGCATCATCACTTGAGACTTTCAAGAAGAGATTGGACTGCTATCTGTCAGAAATGGTGTGGGGTCTCCTGCCTGGGCAGGGGGTTGGACTAGATGACCAACAAGGTCCCTTCCAACTCTGATTTTATCTGTTATCTCACATCTTTGATGGTTGCAATGTCCCGGGATCACACAATCAACTTTTGCGACCTTCTGACGAGCAGAGTCAACGGGGAAAGCCAGATTCAACTCATGACCCTGGTACTGACTTAACAGCTGCATGATTCACTTAACAACGGTGGCAAGAAAGGTCCTGAAAGGGGGCAAAACTCACCACTGTCTCCCTTAGCAGTGGAAATTTTGGATGCAACTGTGTTCTTAAGTCGGGGACTTCAGGTAGTCCCCTCCATCTGTCCCTCCCAAGAAGCAACATCACCAAAACTTTGCCAGATCCAGGGAAAAGATTAAAGCACTCTCACAAGTTTTCACCATTTTTGTCCCTCAAATGAAACAAATATATAATTATATACATTTCTGTATACAGTGGAGCCTCGGGTCCAGAGGTGGTATTCCGCAGGTTCGGACCAGTTCTGGACAACCGGCAGCGGAAATTTTGAGTAGTTCAGAGAATCGGCAAATACCACCTCTGACTGGCCCCGCCCCTATCTCTTCTCTGCCTCCCATTGAGTCCCAGCTGATTGGCTGGGTCTTCTTTGGTTGCCCTGCATAAGAGGAGAACAGAGCTGGAAAGCAGGTTAGTGGGGTGGGAAAGGAATGGGGATTTTGCACTTTCCTACCCCTGCCATGTCCACCAAGCCATGCCCACAGAACCAGTAGTAAAAAAAATTGAATACCACCACTGTCCAGATCACAACTGTAATCTGTTCCTGGACTCCGGTCGCAACTCGATTTGGTCGTGTCCGGAAGCACGACCGACTGCACATATGCACAATAAAAAAAAAATGGCGCCAAAGGGTAAATCTTTCCACATCAATTTTGTTTATCACCCGATTTTTGAATTGTGACCCGATTCAAAAATCGGGTGGATTTTTTGTTCGCCACCCGATTTGGCCGCAAACAGGAGCATTCGCGACCCAAGGTTCCACTGCATATACACCTCCAGGGGTGATGACAATTCACAAACAGAACATTGTTGTGGTCCCCAAAAGCTTTTGAAGGTAAAAGATGTGGTCCACTCCAAGGCAAAGGCTGGGACTTGCTTTCTGAACCAAAGAACCACTTCAGTGTTGTATGGTCTGGAAACCCACACACTTTTCTGTTACAGAATTAGTTCTCTCATCTAAGATTTAGACTATCTGAGATGGCCTTTCTACGCTTTCTTAAAAAAATAAAAAATAAAAATAGTATACCAACACTGATTTTGGGTTTGGCTCATTGGCATTCGTCTGAGGAGCAGGTCCCTAAACAAGCTGAAGCTGCATTTCTCTGTGAGCAAAATGGCCTTGTTCGTACTAGTGTAATGAAAAGAAGGACTTAGGGCTGACATGATGGGAGTGCTCGAATATCCGAGGGGTTGGTACAAAGAAGGGGGTGTCAATCTATTCTCTGAAGGCAGAAACAGCAGCAATGGATGGAAAGCAATCAAAGAGAGAACCAACCTAGAACCAAGGAGAAATTTCCTGACAGTGAAAACAATTAATTGGTGGGACAGAATTGTGGGGATGCTCCATCACTGGACATTTACAAGAAGGGATAAGGAAACCATTGGACCTGAATAGTATACAGTATCCTGCTTGAGAAGGGGGTTGGACTAGAAGACCTCCAAGGTCCCTTCCAACTTGGCTATTCCGTTAGTCATTGTTCAGTGGTGTAGACACATTATTTTCAATTGTGACTGGCTTTTGCTGGGCCGGCCAAAGATCCTTCCAGACAAGGCTTTGTGTCTGCACCAACAGCCAAATAGGAAAGCCATGAAGATCCTAGACTTCCTTTGTTATTGTTACCCATCCTTGGGGGATTACCCAGTTCGTGCTGCCCCTGACTGGGGAGGCTTCACCAGAAGGACAGCGACCTTCCACGGATGACCACGTGAGCAAGTTAAAAACTCCTGTAAAATACAAGTTTTTCGACCGAGTGAAGTCTCCATATTAAAAAAAAGGCACATTACCTTTCTCAGCTTTTTGAGATAGCGTCGCATTCTCTCCTTGTTTCCTCTGTATCCCATTTGTTCTGATCCAGGAACACGCATATGCCATGCACACAAAGAAGAAGAGGTCTACCCCACCCAGCCCCAGCCTCTTCTGGAAGCCCCTAAAAGCCCAGGTTAGGAAACCAGGCCTGCCTTGGTGGGATCTTCTTCCATCCTCTTCCTTGCTTGGGGAAAAGAAGAGAAGGCCGTAAGGAGCGACCAAGCTGCTTCTGGTTAATCAGAAAGCTCTATTCCGCAGGGAGAACAGCAGCAAACCTGCGTGTCAAGATCCAGCAGGATGTCCCAAAGCCATTGTTGCTGTAGGTTTTCTTCACGCACACACGCACGCACACACCCTGCTTCCTGGACCACAACAGGAGGATTGTGAAGTTAAAGGAATCCAAGCCTGTTTGCTGAGAGCTGCTAGAAGAACGACTTCTTCATTGTGCCTCGGCGGAAGTCGGTAAATTGAGCAATTCTGAAGGTTTAGTCTAAACACACACACACACACACTCACACACACCCCCCACCAATGACTAAGTGAAGCAAAAAAGCAAACGTCCTGTTTAATTAGAAGTTGTTCCCTACGCGGGTGCATACACACACACACACACACACACACACACACACACACAAAGCATTGTCAGGAAGTTTCATCATACTTAGTCCAACATTAGAAGCTGCAGAAAGCAAAAGACGGAGATGAACCAGAGAAAAGACAGCTGGTGATCCAAATAGGAGAGTTTTCTACGGGGCTAAATTCGGACGAAGATCTGAATGTCTATTTGGGGAGCTATCCCTTAAAAAGTAGAAGAGGATACCAGGCTGGTTAGGCCAAAGATTGAGAGCCCTTTACAAGCACAGGTAGTTCCTCGACTTATGACCATACTCGAGCCCCACTATTTCTCTTGTCACGGGAGACGTTTGTTAAGTGAATGTTGCCACGACCTTTCTCGCCGCCGTTGTTATTAAGTGACAGGTGGCACGCAGAGCCATTTGTGCAGGCACGCAAGCCCCAGTCACAGTTACCTGCACTGCACATGCACACACCTCCCAGCTGACTTTTGGCTTGTTTCAGGACGTTTTTGCCCTCCCGGGGGCTCGAGGAAAGCCTCTGCAGCCTCGGGAGGCCGAAAAACAGATCTTCTGGAAATACCAGAAGTGCCGAAACGACCCATTTTTCGGCCTCCCGAGGCTGCAGAGGCTTCCCTCGAGCCTCCAGGAGGGCAAAAACGGCCTCAAACGGGCTGAAAATCAGCTGGGAGGCGCGCGCATGCATAGTGCAGGTAAAGGGGCGGGGTGGGGGTGTTGCGCGTGCATGTGGGGGGGGCAGTGCATTGCATTGTGGGTGCCGGCATGCACGCGCTTTCGGCACACCACAACAAAAAGGTTTGCCATCACTGCCCTAGGACACTGCAACCGTCATAAATATGAGTCAGTTGCCAAACATCCGGATTTTGACCTGGATTTTGGGGGTGCTGCAATGGTTGTAAATGGGAAAAATGATCATACGTCAATTTTCAGAGCTGTTGCAACTTTGAACAGTCAGTAAACAAACTGTTGTAAATCAAGGACTATTTGTATGTGTGACTCAGGACAAGTAGAAACGACTGAACATCTTCTTTTGAGTGGCCAGTTTTACACACATCCCAAATCGCTTTATTTGCTCCACTCTTGGCTAGTCAAACAGGATATTATGATCAGCAGTACAGGCAATTCTTTCTTTCTGTTATTAATCCTGAACTAATCTAGAGTACATGATTGCTAAGTTTCGTGTGGTAGTATACAGCATTAGACAAAGGATGATTAGGATCAATTGGATTGAGGGAGATGGGCAGCTAAGAAATATGACATATAAATAATAAACTTGTTTGGGTAGGGAATGGCTTTGCCTCAGGATTTACACATTTCATTTTTTTAAAAAATGTCAGCTACTAGAGTTCATTTTTTCTCTCACACCCCTCGGGAGCTCTATAATCCTATATTTTAGGTTAGTTTTAACTAATAAGCATGAAACCACTTAGCATATTTTTCTACATAATGCTTCTCCCTATTTTTTTTTATGTTCTGGATATTTGAAAACTATTATTTTTCTTTTCTTTCTTTCTGCTGGTTATGTATATATAACCGCAAATTTATTTGACATTTGGTTTGAAATGGAAATGGTTTCCCATCAAACATATTCACAAATCCTTCCAGTAGCTACAACATCATCATCATCTCCCTAGCAAAATCTTGGAATAGCATCAGGGTGGGCTTCAAATATTTTAGCAAACGGTTCTCTGCAAGGGATTACTGGTTGGGCGTGGCCATGCTGGGCGTGGCCTAGTCGGCCTCCTGCACCACATCGGGGGTTGGGGGGGCGTTTTTGCCCTTCCCGGGCTCCGGAGGCTTTCTGGAAGCTGGAAACAGGCCCATTTCCGGCCTTTCTGAACTTCCGGGAGGCCTGTTTTTCATCTTCCCCAAGCTTCCACACATGCCCTGCACTAACCTGGGATCCAAAACGGGCCATGTGGGGACTCCTGGGAAGGGAGGGAGGGAGGGGTGGGCGGGGCCAGCCAGGAGTGGGATTTGGGGGTTCTCCAAACTGTGCAGCATCTCCTGAACCCCCGCAAACCTCCACCGAATATCCTCTTCATACCACCCAACCCTGGGCGACCCTCAGGTTTACCTATGAAGAAGAAGATGCCCAGAAAATCATGGTGTGTTTTTTCCCTTCTCAGCCCAGCCTTCTTCCTGGCTCTCCGCAGGGACATCTGAACCAGAGATGGAGGCCTGCAGGAAAATGTCACCATCTGCTTTGTTCCAAGATTCTTTAAGATCTTGCCTTTGTGTTAGAAAAGAAGGTTGAAGAGGCCATAGTTGCCCCATAATTCCAATCCTCCTACACAGCAGGGCATCCCAAAGATGCTTTCTGAAAGTCAACTGGACTCTCTTGGGGTTATTTACCTTAAAAAACGTTTTACTTCTCATCCAACAGGTTTCTCCAGTTCTTCTCTTCCAAGAAGAAGCTTCTTGAAGGAGAAACAAAACCTCTACAAGGGAAAAAAAACCCCAAGAAAGTCCAGTTGCCTCTTGAAAAGGATCTTTGGGGCAACCATGATCTGGATCGTTGAGAATCTCCATAGGCATTTACCCAGCAGGGCATGGAAGTGCCTGGGCTGAGCAGGGTGGAGCAGGATGGGCTTTGTGGCTTTTCTCCGGTCTCTCTTCCTGAATATGCTGATCTAAATCAAGGGCAGGTTTCTCCAGGCTGGAGGAGAGACCTCAACTCCAACAGCTGTAATGACATTCGGCCTTAGAATATTACAAGTAGAATTCTTCACGGTCCTAGTTGCTCACCATCTCAGTTATCTGCTATCAACCTTCAACAAAATTACATCATTCGTGGTTTTCATCCTAGCTTCCTCAAGCAACCACACTGTTGGAACATGCAAACCTGGACATATTGGTCCCAAAGGTGCTTTTAGAATAGAATAGACTGGAACACTTTATTGGCCAAGTGTGATTGGACACACACGGAATTTGTCTTGGTGCAAATACTCTCAGTATACATAAAAGAAAAGATGCATGCGTCAAGAGTCGAGACTCATCAGGTACGACACTTTTTTCAGAAGGCAACTGGACTTTCTTGGTTTTTATTTTGAAAATGTTTTGCTTCTCATCCATGAAGCTTCTTCAGTGAATCATTTTCAAGGTGAAAACCAAGAAAGTCCAGCTGCCTTTTGGAAAAAAAACATCTTTGGTACAATCATGACCTGAATGATTGAGAACCTCCATAGACATTTGGTAGATTGCTGGTTGACAGGGACTGCGCTATTTTTTCCCCTCCCCTTATGCTTTACTAACAAAAGGGTTTATAAGCCTGAATTTTCTTTTAATCTTTTTAAAGGAATATATACTGTAACAGTGTATAGTTTAGCTCTAGGTTAAACCATACCAGGTGGAAACACTAAGTTTGTGACATCAGATCTCAATAAGATGCCTGGGCTTGGATAGGAGCGGAAGTAGTCAACTTGGACAAGAATTTCTAGGGCTGGGATCAGGGGTGGGATTCAAATTTTTAAAGAACCGGTTCTGTGGGCTTGGCTAGGTGGGCATGGCCATGTGACTGGGTGGGCGTGGCTTCTTCTGCTTCTTTTTGCAGCACCCCCCCTCCCCGCTTTGGGGGCCTTCTGGGCCTCTGGGAAGCCTCCTGGGGGAAGTGTTTTTGCTCCCAGTAGGCTTCCCTGGGGCCCAGGAAGGAAATAATAATAATATTCTGCCTTTTTAATATTTCCTAAAATATTTCGTTCTTCTAGGAGAGGGGTGGGTGTTAACTTTCTACAACTGTTTACAGCCTTTGGCCATAAGGACAAATAATTCAACCAGCTATTTTTTCCTTGACCAAACAAATATTTTTTTCCAAAGGGCTCTAGACTAGAATTCTCCAAGTAGGTTGCTGAAAATGGCCTGATTAACTCAATGCCAGTGAAAGCTTCAGGCCATGATTCCTTTTTTCCATTCAACTATCTAGTGCATTTGTTCCTGAGAACTGGCCAACTTGTTTATACAGGCCGTGGCTAGAAAAAAAAAATGCCTGTGGAGTTATACGGAATTAATCAGCTGTAGAAGCTGCAAGAACTTCAGCCCTGACAGGCCTTCCCCCCTCATTCTTAGAAATTGCAGAGAGTTGATGCTATCCCTCTGGATGAGATCAACTTTTACTCACGGCATTGGAGGACAGCTTGAAGGCAAATTGGATGCGTCGACCGCTCTGCCCAAGTCTGTGCCCTGAGCTTTAAATGCCCTGATTCCCCCAAAGCAAGGATTTTTCTGCTTTGCTGTACTGAACGTACAACAATAAGGTTGGAAGGCTCCTTGGAGGTCTTCTAGCCCAACCCCTGCCAGAAGATCCTAGGCCATTTCAGACAAATGGATGTCTAATCTCTTCTTGGGGGAAAAAAAAAAAGCACCCACAATTTCTTGAGGAAAGCGGTTCCACTGATTAAGTGTTCTCACTGTCAGGGAATTTCTCCTTACTTCCAAGTTGGCTCTCTCTTTAATGACCTTCCATCTATTGCTTCTTGTTCAGATGATGAATAATATATTTTTTTTAAACAAAAAAGTATTTTTAATTAACGTGTATACATTGTCTTTTTAGACCTAATGCTATTGCACATAC